TGAATGCTTACTATGTGCCAACACTGTCTGCTTTCCACGTATTAACTTATCTAACAGCCTATGATCTAGCAGTGTCGGCACCTCTCCTGCTAAGATTTTATTTTTTTATTGATTTGACAAGCACTTTTAGGGCACTCACTGTTTTCCAAGTGCTTTTACAAATATCAACTTATTTAATATTGTTAGTGCCTCCATTTTATAGTTTGCTTATCTTTTCCTTTTACCTCAGGAAGACAAATGGCCACCAGACCCTTTTACTTTTTCTAATTGGTGAGTATTTTTTGTGTCCCTGTGCTACATTTGAGGTGAATGTAACTCTGTGGTGCTTTTTGTAACCTAGGTTTGTATACCGAGTTCTTCAGGGATCCCTATTTCCATCTCCAGTTCTAAGGGCGAAGCACTTTGACAGACTGACTCCAGAGGAGAGGACTAAAGCTCTCAAGAAGTGGGCAGAGGCTGGAAAGATGGGCCAAGTGACACCCAAGAATGCTGACCACTCAGACTCCAAATCAGAGAAAAGAGCTAAGTCTGGCCCTGCTGACAGCTTTGCAATGATGTCAGCACCTTCTCATCCTGTTGACCAGGGAGACTTCTCTGTCCATGAAACTGCTTTGGACTCAGACTACTGTGAAACCAAGGCCTCAGGGATGGCTGGGCCCCCAAAGGGTTAAAAAAAAAAAGCATTGTAGCCTCCTTGGAGTTGCAAGTATTCCCTCAGATTTGGAAGAGGGACCTTGAAGAGGCACCTCTATCAAGAATGAAATGGATTTTTCCCTAAGGGACATGAACATTCATTCTACTGTGCTTGGAAAAGCCAATGTGATGACCTTTATCGTATGTTTGTAGATACATTTGTAAAAGGACTTGGAGTGTGACCTGAACAGAGTTTAGGGAAATGAAATACTTAATTCAGAATCAAATGCTTTTATGAAACTTTTTGGACTTTGTAAAAGCTCTTTTATTGTCTTACAAGTGCAGACATTCTTAAGGGATTCCTTTGAGATGTATTTATTTAATTGGGAGATCTCCGATTCCAGGGAAGTGTTTTCAATGAGCAGACTCCAATCTGAATTGTTTTAAATGAAGAAAAAGTAGTTTTCAGATCAGTTAGAACTCCAAAGAGAAAAAAATGTTACATATAAATGGTTCACTTCCAGAAAAATTCAAAGAACCTTCTAATGACAGTGTACCTAAAAGAGGGTAATAGCTATACTATTTGAAATGAGTTAGTGATTATTAGTAGCTTATTTCATGCAGGAAGATGCCTTTGGTCGCCTGCAGATGTTAGGCATATCTTTCTGCTCATGTCAGTGTTCTCTTGAGGGGGAGTCTTCATTGGGAAAGGGCAGAGGGATGCCAGGGTTCCGTAGGAATGTGTTTCTCTCTCAGCTTTCAGTCAAAAGACAACCTTTTATGAGGGCTGCCTCTATGCAGCTGTTGTCAGTTGGGACACAGACCATAGGTAGGGGCAGACAGAATCAGCTGAGTCTCTAGCCTATTTGGCAATTTCTTGTATTCTAAAACTTACAATCAAAAGCCTGATCAAAATGAGACAGTCAATTTCAAAACAGTCTTTCAGAGACCATTTGAGGGTTCATGGTCCTTACAGAATCCTACAAATTCTCTGGTGTTACAACTTTTAAAAGTGATTTACTGTGAATTGGGACTGATACAGGTGGTTCTCAGAAGGATTTCATGAGGTTCTTAGAAAACTTCATTTTTTAAATATATTTTAGGACAGGAATGTCCATAGCAAGTTACTTGCTGTTGCAAATCATGTATGCTGGCTTTAGTTGGAACAAAGTCTAGTTTACCAAGTAATCCAGGTATTATAATATCATCTATTCTTGTTGAGTTCTTTTTAAAATTCAGTATCTATTCATCTGAACATTGTCAGCCACTAGTCACCCAGAATCTCCTTCCTGAAATCTCCATGCTAATGTTCTCTGTCTGTATCAAGGTCTTATGACTATTAATCTGTTATTCTCAGGGCTTGATATTTTCCTGATACCTACTTTCCTGGTCTGACATTTTTTTTTTTTTTTTATAACTGTCTGATGCTACTACAAATAGTCTTTTATACAGACTGATTTCTAGAACTTTCAAAATCCCACATGGATATTAGAGGTTGCTTTCTGCTTTCTTAATGATTTTTTTAAAATTGTTTAATAAATAATTTGTACAAAAAACTGTCATCATTCCCGTAGATACCACTGAACCTAATAGTAATTGTTACCTGAGCTTAGAAGGAAGCCCTTTTTTTTTTTTTTAATTTTTTTTTTTTCAACGTTTATTTATTTTTGGGACAGACAGAGACAGAGCATGAACGGGGGAGGGGCAGAGAGAGAGGGAGACACAGAATCGGAAACAGGCTCCAGGCTCTGAGCCATCAGCCCAGAGCCTGACGCGGGGCTCGAACTCACGGACCGCGAGATCGTGACCTGGCTGAAGTCGGACGCTTAACCGACTGCGCCACCCAGGCGCCCCTAGAAGGAAGCTCTTAAAGCACACCTTTTACCAGAATATTGTAGTGACCTTTTCTTATATGGAAAAATCAGTAATGTCATAGCAGCTGGCATTCATTCTCTGAATATAAATAAAGGGTTAGAATGTAAAGAGAAAAAGAATAAGCCAAGAAGACTAAGAAAAAAAGTTAAGTTTCCAGATGTCAAGTATCCGTACATAAGAGTAGAAGAAACTCGAGTGTTCATGTTATGTGTCCGCAATCTCTTATCCACAATTCTAAAATCCCAAGAGGTCTGGAACTTGAGGGTTTTTTCATAAGTTAGGCACAAATTAAATGTACCAGACATATGTAAAACTATGTAATATAATTATTCAGATGTTTTACTATAAAAATGTATTACTGGGTGCTAAACTGTATTGTATCTTTTAGTTTCTGAAAAATTCAGGATTCTGTCACACAGCTAGCCCTCAGGCAGAAAAAGATTTGGGATCCATATCAAGCCCTTAACAGGCCTCATTTACAAGTGAGTAACCTTTACACAAAGTTATTGCATTTTGGTGTTCAATATATTTTCCCAAATTTGAGGGATCATTGTTCTTTATAGCCAGAAAAAAATGGTTAATAATGTATATTTTGAGGTATAATTTTATCCCAAAAGATTTATAAAAGAATTATTCCAGGCTCCCAAAATGTACTCTGTAGACATGAAAGATCCTTGCACTCTTCCAGGATTAAAGTTTTCTTTGGACACTTAAGTAACCTGAGACTATTAGCAACCTTTCACTTCAAAAAGCCATCCGTTACCTAAAATAAAAGAGCACGTTTCTGTGAGAGGGAGTCCAAGACAGGTAAATTCGGGTTGGTAGGCGGCTGGGGCCAACAATTATGGTGGGAGACACAGTTTCCTGGGACTTTCCATCCATGTTCCATGTCCATTAAAAAAAAAAAAAAAAAAAAAAGGATTGTACCACTTTATTTGTATTGCAGGTTATTTAAAATAAGTACAACAGGTACACTTGACTGAACAGAAGTTGAGCAAGGCTAAAAGTTATTACATTTAAGTATGTACCTACAACTATAACAAAACTGACATAATGTTCTTAAACTTTCATACAATTGTGACTGCAATTCCGTTGCTGGATTTCACATTCTGAGTAGGTTCACACAAACTAGAGAATAGGAGAGGAATAACATGGAACGTGTCAAGACAACTTTTTGAAACTGAAATATGTGGGCACATAGAAAAGAGTAGAAAAATACATGTATAAAATAGCAGGTAGTGTCTGCTGAGGCAGTCCGGGTTGCTTGCTGGTGAAGGTTAGTAGGGAACCCTACTTGCTCAAAAGGCATTTGGATGTTGCAAAATGAACGCCTAACTAAATTACTTCCGTGTGAAAATCTATATTTTGGAGCTTTTTAGTGGGGAGAGATTGATGTGCATAAAGTGGCCTAGTGCTTAAAAGCAGTAAAAAAAATTTTGTTTTAATCATCAACAGGAGGAAATGGCAACAACACCAGATAGGAAACATGTTTCAAGGACAAAATGTGGTACTCCAGGCAAACTTTCACCGTGCTTTGAGATGCGGTTCTGCGACTCTATTGTTATGGGTGAACACAGGACAATTGGAAAATATGGAATTGGAGGTCGGGTGCAATTTAATTTTCCTCTTCCAAAATTGAATCTCTCCAGTCTAAAGCGAGTTCTCCTTTGGCAAGCTTTAATCTCCATTCATTGTCACACAGGCAAAACAAAATGTTTTCCATGAATATGCTTCTAGTTGTTAAAATCTCAGTCAGCCGATACACAATGAACAAACCCCAGCTCTGAGGAAGCTTTTGTGGAGACTTTTCTATAAAGCAACATCCTTGATTTGAGTTCAGAGCGTGCAGTCCTCTATGGGAGTGCTAATGTTGATGTCTGAAGAACTTTGTGTTCAAAATGTCCTTCCATTTCAGCTACCGCAGTGGATGCTACTTGTCTTTTATATCTGTCCGTCATAGGTTCTCAGAATTATGCAAACTTGAGAAGAGTAACAGTAAATCATTTAAGCTTGTAAATTATCCTGGCTTTTTAATAAATCAAAAGCAAGTCTCCAGCATTAATATTGCAATTTGCCACTGTGCTCAAGAAACAAAAACCGGCAAAGATTAGTCATCCTGGATCTCAAGGTCCTCTTTGTGACTGAAAGAGAATTTTCCATAACCTGCTCCCCCAGCACCTGTCATATTCCAGGGCTGATAAATTTTGTGCTAAGGTCAAGGTTAGGCCTGGCAAGAGAACAAAATCTGCTTTTCTTTGTTTTTGGGTTTTTTTTTTTTAAAGACTTCATTAAACTTGAAACAAGAGAAAACTAAAGTTGAAAAAAAACTGAATAAAATTAGACCAAAACAAACATGAAAATTTGCAGTGCACTGCCGAGCATCCCGGTCCACGGAAAGTGCTTCTGTTCAGCTCTCTGCGGGAAGCACTCCACAGTCAAAAAGGCCATTTTCTTTGAATGTAGCTGGCAAAAGTCTCTGATCATCTTTGGGATTAGTTTAGGAGGAAGGTATGGATGTATATTTGTCTTTCAATCCACTCGACGAAGTAGGACACGTTGCTATAAACCCCAGGCCCCAGGACTTTGGAAAAGCACACGGAGCCCCATGAGGTTAAACCAAATAATGTCCACTGTCCTCCAGGCCGCTCACAAACAAGTGGCCCGCCGCTGTCACCCTGTAATGAATAGCAGTGCACATTAGTCACTGGTATTTCGGAACCCTCATGGCGTCTGTGTTATCCTGAGGGTGCAGTAAAGCCAAACCCAGCTTAACCAACTTCTTGGAAAGTTCTAACAAAGCTTTCATTGCCAACTGGTGGAGGGAGCGTGCTTTCGACCTACGCAAGTGGAACTTGCACTTACACTCTGATCTTGAAAAAAACGGAGGTGCCTTGGGAAAGGACTACATTCTTTTTTTTCCCCAAGAAATCAGAAGATTTCTCAGTCATTTCCTGTGCTAAATTCAAATAGGTCATAATTTCTTTTTAAATGGGTGTATCAGAACTAATACTCTGCTAGTTTGATCTCGTTCTTTAACTTTGAGTCATTTTATAAATGTGGAAAGTACCCAAGTGGGACATTCAGAGATTTGATTTTCTCCACAAAGCATTACTAGAAAAATCCTCCAGAATAACCCTATTTTCAAGATTCATGCTCCATTAATGTGCAGTCAGTAAAAGACACTGACAACTTGCTTGAGTTCTTAATACTTTTTAGGACCGTTCCAATTAGTATGCTTGAATGGAAAACACCACATAAGAATTATTTCCGGCAAGGTATTTTGTGGATAGCTTGTATTCTCTTTCACATGCTGGGGATTTTCGTTCTTGACATCTAACTTCAGGTGTTGCAGTTCTTCTGCCCACATGTAATTAAGACACTATGACTTTATAAATGTTACTATTTGTTACATCTGAAAAGATCAGAGATTAAGTGCATTCCACACTGCCTCAAAAGAGAGGGATGGATACCTTGTAAAATAAGGAAGTAAGTGTGGAAATTCATAGTGGGAGTTTACCAATAATCCTTGCCCTGTAAGAATTTCAGACTTAGAATTAGCTAGATGGTCTTCCCGCTCGGGTCATGTTGGAGAAAAACAGTAATTATGTTTATTGATGCCTCCTCTAAACCCTTGCCCTCGGATTAGCTCATTTAATCCTCATGAAACCCCTATGAGTTGACAGTAATTATAATATGCGTGTTGGAGGCAATGAGCCTGAAGCACAGGTGTGTAACGTGTTCGTTGGCAGAGTTAGCGTTAGACGCAGGCATCCTGACACCATGACTCCAGCTCTATAACTACTTCTCAGAAGTGTCAGCAACTACTACTGCTATTAGAAATAGTTTTGACTGTGCTGTGGGCTTTTGTGGCAATGGCGATCCTTACGTTCCTAACTTAGCAATGCCGTAAGCCTGAATAGTAAGGATAGACCTTGCAAGAGGCTGAATAAACCGTTCTGCCTGGAAGCCTCATGGAGTTTTTTAAAGCAAAATTTACTAGAAAAATTTTATCAAATTCCACAATTGTTTTATCTCCCCTTAGGTAAAGGCAAGAGTAAAATGCTGACTTATTTAGGATAAGCTGTTTATTATGCCAGAATGTTATTAAAGTTGGACGTGCCTACGTTGCCTCTAAAAAAGAAGCCTCTGCAGAGAAGAGAATGGAAAGGGGTACACGGTAACTTGGGAATTCGGTATACTGAAAGATGCTGCCAATAAAATCAAATGTAACTAGCATTTCTAAAAAAAATGAGACGTGTACAGATCAGCATCTCTGTACTTTCAGATCAGGAATTTAGCCAAACAACTATTCAACATCTACTCTGCAAGATTCTGTGCTAGGGTATATGCAGACAAAGAAGGCATGATTTTTTTTGTCCCGGAGAGGTCACAAGTCTGCTTGGGTACCAAGCATAACTCTACTTGAAAGCCAGGACTAAGGACCATGACGAAGGAGTCTTCAAAGGAGTGAGCGATTACTGCCAGCTGGAGAAGAACAAAAGGGCCTTCCCAAGATGTGGATTTTGAGTTAAGCGTCGTGAGGCAAATAAGTGTCAGGGGGAAAGCAAGAGAGGAGAAAGAAGCAATTCAAATACAAGGGATTATACAGCAAAAAGGCATAATTTGCTCTTTTTTGGTCCTCTTCCTTTTCATAATATTGGGTGTTAGGCCAAAGTTTGGCTTCAGTATTGATCCCCATGATTTATTTCTAGACCTTAACAGAAGGGTCTAACAGCTTCCAATGTATGCTATGGATGTAATTGAGGAAGATAACGAGAGGTTCTGGTAAATAATCTTGCTCCAGACCTGGGGGAAAAGTAGCTTTTGATTATTTGTTTTGTTCTGTATGCTCCCTGGGGATGTATTATAGAGTATCTGGTATGCATTTAAGACACCCACAGTGTTGAACTCCTAGGACCTAGTTCCTACCAGGCGACATGATATGAACATGCCTGTGCCTGTGCTTGGGCTTCAATTCTCTTTCAAAGAACACCTCCCTTCTTCTCCTTTAGCAATTACCAAGGGATGAAGAGGCACTATTTTGGGGTGGGTCTCCGAATGGTGTTGGGAACAGGGAGAAATGTATACACACTCATCACTGTTACCAGGAGAGTGTAGCGGTTGAGCACTTGGACCCTGAAGCTGGACTTCCTGAGTTCATATCCTCACTCTGCCACCTTCATGCTGGGTGATACGGGGTTAATTACTTAACTTCTCTGCTCCCTTGTTGTCTTGATTTGTAAAATAGCAAAAACAATGATACTGCCACAAACGTTGATTGTGAGGATTAAATGAGTTATTAAAAAGCACTTGGAAGAGATACTGGAACACAACAAACACCAACCAATAGATACTGATGCTAAAGGTACAATTCATTGAGTGAGTCGGACATCACACACAGATAGGTGAAAGGGCTTTCACATACATGGACGTGGGTAATCATCAAACACCCTGAATATTAGAATCAGCCCCATCTTATGAGAAAACTTTCTAGAGAAACTTCTCCAGGTCACTTTGTTCTTACAGGCAGAGATAGGACCCAACACAAAACTTTCAGGTTGCACATTCTGTGTCCCAAGACCCACACCAAGCTGCCTTCCCACTTTTTTTTTTTTGGCTTGGGAAATCAAACCTGGGCCTCTCATATGAAGGTAGGAATTCTTCCACTGCTGCCCACCTCATTTGGACAATTCGTGGTCAGGAAGCAGAAGAGACTGTGGCCTTGGTGAAACTCCAGAGGAGGTGCCTGCCTCCCTCTTTCCCATGACAACTAAAGAATCACCACTGGGCCATTTCCAGTCCCCTGATTTGCCCATTTTGAAATAGGCCACTGAGAATGTCCTTTTGTTATGTCGTGTGAGTGGTAATGACATTGTTGATCTCTTGTCAATTCTAAAATGTGAGGGGCAATCTGATTTACTGAACAGCAGTGAAATAACAAAGGTCTTCCATAGCAGTTGCACTCTGTTGTAAACTTCTTTGAAGCAGAAAGAGAAATTCACAATCCAATTTACAACTGCACCGAAAATTGTAAGATACCAGGAATAAACTTAACCAGAGAGGTGAAAGACCTATACTCTGAAAACTATAAAACATTGATGAAAGAAATTGAAGATGACACAAAGAAATGGAAAGATGTTCCACGATCTTGGATTGAAAGAACAAATATTAAAATGTCCATACCACCTACAGCAGTCTACAGATTTAATGCAATCAAAATACCAACAGCATTTTTCACAAAACCAGAACAAACAATCCTAAAATTTATATGGAACCACAAAAGACCTTGAATAACCAATGCAATTTTGAAAAAGAAAAAAAACCTGAAAGTTTCACAGTTTCAGACTTCAAGTTATATTTCAAAGCTGTAGTGACCAAAACAGTATGGTCCTGGCACAAAAACAGACACATTTATCAATAGAACAGAATAGAAAACCCAGAAATAAACCCACAATTATATGGTCAATAAATCTTCAACAAAACAGGAAAGAATATCCAGTGGGAAAAAGTCTCTTCAACAAATGGTGCTGGGAAAACTAGTCAGCATGTACATGCCCAGGCAGTAATGTTTCTGACATTGGCCACAGCAACATTTTTCTAGATATGTCTCTTGAGGGAAAGGAAATAAAAGCAAAAATAAAAATGAACTATTAGAGCCACATCAAAATAAAAAGCTTCTGCACAGCGAAGGAAACAATCAACAAAACTAAAAAACTGCCTATGGAATGGGAGAAGATATTTGCAAACGACAAATCCAATAAAGGGTTAGTATCCAAAATATAAAAAGAACTGATACAACTCAACACCCACAACACAAATAACCCAATTAAAAAATAGGCAGAAGACATGAACAGACATTTTTCCAAAGAACACATCCAGATGGCCAACAGACACATGAAAAGATGTTCAACATCCCTCATCATCAGGAAAACACAAATCAAAACTACAGTGAGGATATTGAACCAGCCCTGCATCCCAGGTATAAATCCCACTTGGTTGTGGTGAATAATTCTTTTAATGTATTGTTGGATCTGGTTGGCTAGTATCTTGTTGAGGATTTTTGCATTCATGTTCACCAGGGAAATTGGTCTGTAGTTTTCCTTTTTAGTGGGGTTTTTGTCTGGTTTTGGAATCAAGGTAATGCTCGCTTCACAGAATAGTTTGGAAGTTTTCCTTCCATTTCTATTTTTTTGGAATAGCCTCAAAAGAATAGGTGTTAACTTTTCTTATGTCAATAAAAGAAAGGACAAGAAACACATGATCCTCTCAATAGATGCAGAGAAAGAATTTGACAAAATACAGCATCCTTTCTTGATAAAAACCCTCAAGAAAGTAGAGATGGTAGGATCAAACTTCAAGATCATAAAAGCCACATATGAAAGACCCACTGCTAATATCATCATCAATGGGGAAACACTGAGAGCTTTCCCCTTATGGTCAGGAATACGACAAGAATGTCCACTATCACCACTGTTATTCAACATAGTATTGGAGTCTTAGCCTCAGCAATAAGACAACACAAAGGAATAAAAGGCATCCAAGTCAGCCAGGAGGAAGTCAAACTTTCACTCTTCGCAGATGACATGATACTCTATATAGAAAACCCAAAAGATTCCACCAAAAACTGCTAGAACTGATCCATGAGTTCAGCAAAGTCACAGGATATGAAATCAGTGCACAGAAATCAGTACCATTCCTATACACCAATAACGAAGCAACAGAAAGAGAAATCAATGAATCGATTCCATTTACAATTGCACCAAAAACCATAAAATACCCAGGAATAAACATAAGCAAAGAGGCGAAAAACCTGTACACTGAAAATTATAGAAAGCTTATGAAAGAAGTTGAAGAAGACACAAAAAAATGGAAAAAGATTCCATGCTCCTGATTGGAAGAACAAATATTGTTAAAATGTCGATACTACCCAAAGCAATCTACATATTCAACGCAATCCCTATCAAAATGACACCAGCATTCTGCACAGAGCTAGAACAAACAATCCTAAAATTTGTATGGACTCAGAAAAGATCCTGAATAGCCAAAGCAATCTTGAAAAAGAAAACCAAAGCAGGAGGCATCATAATCCCAGACTTTAAGCTATACTAGAAAGCTGTAATCATCAAGACAGTATGATACTGGCACAAGAACAGACGCTCAGATCAATGGAACAGAATAGAAAACCCAGAAATTTACCCAAAAACCTACAGTCAACTAATCTTTGACAAAGCAGGGACGAATATCCAATGGAATAAAGACAGTCTCTTCAGCAAGTGGTGCTGGGAAAACTGGACAGCGACATGCAGAAAAATTAACCTGAACCACTTTCTTACACCATACACAAAAATAAACTCAAAATGGATAAAAGACCTAAACATAAGACAGGAAGCCATCAAAATCCTAGAGAAGAAAGCAGGCAAAAACTTCTTTGACTCGCCCACAGCGACTTCTTACTCAATACGTCTCCAGAGGCAAGGGAAACAAAAGCAAAAATGAATTATTGGGACCTCATCAAAATAAAAAGCTTCTGCACAGCAAAGGAAACAATCAGCAAAACTAAAAGGCAACTGACGGAATGGGAGATGACATATCAGATAAAGGCTTAGTATCCAAAATCTATAAAGAACTTATTAAACTCAACCCCCCAAAAACAAATAATCCAGTGAAGAAATGGGTAAAAGACATGAATAGACACTTCTCCAAAGACATCCAGATGGCCAACCGACACATAAAAAAATGCTCAACATCACTCATCATCAGGGGAATACAAATCAAAACCACAAAGTGGTACCACCTCACACCAGTCAGAATGGAAAACATTAACAACTCAGTCAACAACAGGTGTTGGCGAGGATGTGGAGAAAGAGGATCTCTTTTGCATTGTTGGTGGGAATGCAAGCTGGTGCAGCCACTCTGGAAAACAGTATGGTGGTTCCTCAAAAACTTAAAACAGAACTGCCCTACGACCCAGCAATTGCATTACTAGATACATATCCAACGGATACAGGTGTGCTGTTTTGAAGAGGCACATGCACCCCCATGTTTATAGCAGCACTATCGACCATAGCCAAAGTATGGAAAGAGCCCAAATATCCATTGATAGATGAATGGATAAAGAAGATGTAGTACACACACCACACACACACACACACACACACACACAATGGAGTATTACTCGGCAATAAAAAAGAATGAAATCTTGCCATTTGCAACTACGTGGATGGAACTAGAGGGTTTCAATGTGAGCGAAATTAGTCAGAGAAAGACAAATATCATATGACTTCAATCATATGAGGAATTTAAGATACAGAACAGATGAACATAAGGGAAGGGAAGCAAAAATAATATAAAAATAGGGAGAGGGACAAAACATAAGACAAAACATTAAATATGGAGAACAAATAGAGGGTGGCTGGAGGGGTTGTGGGGGGGGATGGGCTAAATGCGTAAGAAGCATTAAGGAATCTACTCTTGAAATCACTGTTGCACTATATGCTAACTTGGATGTAAATTTAAAAATTAATTAATTAATTAATTAATTTTTTAAAAACTACAGGGGCGCCAGTGTGGCTCAGTCGGTTAAACGTCTGACTTTGGCTCAGGTCATGATCTCACGGTTTGTGAGTTTGAGCCCCGCGTTGGGCTCTGTGCTGTCAGTTCGGAGCCTGGAGCCTGCTTTGGATTCTGTGTCTCCCTCTCTCTCTCTGGCCCTCCCCCACCCCCACTCTGCCTCTCAAAAAATGAATAAACATTAAAAAAAATTTTTAAAAACTACAATGAGGTATCACCTTATACCTGTCAGAATGACTAAAATCAAAAACACAAGAAACAAGAGTTAGTGAAGATATGGAGAAAAAGGGACACTCTTGCACTGTTGGTGGGAATGCAAACTGATGCAACCATTGTGGAAAGCAATATGGGGGTTCCTCAAAATGGTAAAAATAGAACTATCCTAAGTTCCAGTATAGCACTACTGAGTATTTATCCAAAGAATACAAAAACACTAATTCAAAGGGATGCATTCACCCTGATGTTTCTAACAGCATTATTTGCAATAGCCAAGTTGTGGAAGCAGTCCAAGTGTTCACTGATTGATGAATGGATAAAGAAGATATGGTATTTATCTTGGAATATGGATATCTTGGAATATGGAATATTATTCAGCCATAAAAAGCATGAAATCTTGCCATTTGCAATGACCCGGATGGAGCAAGAGAGTATAACGCTAAGCAAGGTAACTCAGTCAGAGAAAGACAGATACCATGAGTTCACTCATATGTGAAATATAAGAAACAACACAAAGGGGAAAAAAAGACAAGTCAAGAAAGAGACTCTTAATTATAAAGAATAAACTGATGAGGGGAGGTGGGGAGGGGGATGGGTGAAATCAGTGATGGAGATTAAGGAGTGCACATGTGATGAGCCCCGGGTGATGAATGGAATTGTTGAATCACTTGTACACTTGAAACCAGTATAACATTGTATGTTAACTATGCTGGAATTAAAATTTTAAAATGGAAAGAAAAAAATAACTCTTTTGTCCTTCCCTGGTTTCTAGTTCAACATAATATTCAATGAATGTTTATTATATAGAAATAAAAACGCCTCCCTGTATTGCTAAGTTAGCATGCTCAGGAAACTACTGCGACCAGGAATCCTGGGTGTCGAAAGCAATAAACTCAGGAGCAATCAACTCTTGAGACAAAGGTAGTTCTCTCACACAGCCTGGAAGGTGGGATGTGGTGTGTGCTTTAACGCCGTCACCCTGATGGCTGAAAACATCCTTTGGTGCTCCTCTGCTGTGGGCAGGGAGGGGAGGTGGGGAGGGGCAGCCTGGTTGGAGCCATGATTACCACTAGCTCCTCACAGAACCTTGTTTGTGCTAGCTGCTAAGATGGGCCAGACAACTGCTTTTCTTTGTTTTGCCGACCCAGGGTGCTGTTCCCCATGCAGTAGATGAGAAAGCTGAGGGCAACCTGAGTGAAGGGCATGGAGGTAGTTAGGGGGATCACTCGGGTACTGGATAAAGTACATACTGTGAATAATTAAACATTTGGTAATAAGCAATCTTCAAAAAGCATTCCCAAAGGGCCACAAATGAATCATAACAAGTTTATATGGACCCATCGACGTTACTGCTGAACTGAATCTCCTCGGTAACCAGAAAGCAATTTACCATGCACGAGTCGACTGTGCCGGACTCATAGCCGGCACATATCATCCGGGTGGTGATGGTCTTCATGTCAAAGTAGGACTGGCATTGCTCCAGAGAGATGATGCGGACTTCTCCCTCTTGCAGCTTAAAAGGCACTAGATTTTTTTAAAAAGAAGAAATACAATATATAAGAGGGTAAAATGACTCAAAGATGAGGCTAGCTATATATGAAATGATTACATCTGTATACCAAGAGAACCATAATCTTTATTTAAAGTGTCGTCTCAAAGACAAGTCTTGTTTGGCATCAGAATCTTCCAATTAGAAGTGTTGACAGCAATCATCTCATCAAACCCCTTTATTTTACCAATGGGAAAACTGAGGTACAGACTGGTCAAGTAACTTGCTCAGGTAACTTGGCTCATGCTTCCCACTCCCCCTTAATATATCCTGCAACAAGAACAACAACTACTAAAATGAAAAGGGAAATAATCAAACCAAAGCACTGCCCCCAGATGCAAGGCTGCTGGATCAGTGTCAGCGGAGCATGCCAGCCCCCTTCTGCTAAGGTACAGAACACCATCTGGTCTGACAGGGGAATGATTGCTCTATCTTAGGTTTACAGAATACGTCTCATCATGTACTGCCATAGCCATTACTGGAGGTATGAACCTTTAATCCCTAGAGGAGATGACAGGGAGATGTCGAAAGGGACAAAGCCATCCCTACTGTCAGCAGAGGGAACATGTGAATTCCATCCTGTTTCTACATTGTCACAGAATAATAACGGATTTCTTGGAGCATAATCTTTTGTTGTTTAGACCTTCTACCAAATTATACACATTGTTCTCCTTTTAGATAGTGATGGTAAAGCAGTGCCTATGTACAGGACAGCTTATAGGAAGAAAGAGTCATGTATGGGAAAATCAGTGTGACGGGAACAGTTTCAATGAATTGTGCAAAGAATAGTGATAAGAACCATCACCATTTACTGGGTACAGGCCAGGACCTGATCTCGGCATTTTCTGGGCCTCTTGTCTTTAATCTTTGCAATAATCCTGTGAAATAGACAGTTGCTATTATTTTTTTCCATTTTAGAATAAGCTAGAAAGTCAGGGTCAATCAAACCTTTCTAACTGAATTCGGACCCCTGGTCTTCATGCCATGCCATATATGTGGTCTGTGTGATGCTACATGATTGCTGTGAGTTTGATGTGGATATTGTGGAAACACAAGTAGACACAATATAAAGCATATTCTGCTGCTATATCACATCACGGTACTAATTATAGCTTTGAAAAACCAAGAGCCACAGGGATCGTGACATCATATGTCCGACACCGCCTTCAACGGTCTTCCATGGGAGCTCTTCAGATGGCATTGACTCATTTCTATCGTTTGCCTTTTTCTTTCTGTCCCAAGTGATCACATAGAAAAGAAACTCAACTTAGCCCATAACTTTTCTGACTAAATTTTGAGAAGAAGAAAAAAACTGTCATTCAAATCGGCAGTTGCTAACATAGATAACACGATATCAATATGCATCGGCATTCCCGAGAGCCGTGCTGGTGTTCTTGATACAGTTGGGGTGGCCAGCACTTACTGTAAAGCAAATGCCTCACTGATTACATTCTTACTCTAAACTTTTAACAGGTCCAACAAAATGAGAGAATCCGTTATGGGGGCTGGGAGTAGGCAGTACCAATTGCTTAATTTTTGTGTTTTGTAGGTTTCAAGCATCTAGAGAGCCCAACTATTTTGATCAATTTAAACAGGCAAATGGCAAATCAGGTTTCCTTCTGGAAGGACTTACAGCTTGTTATGGATGTTGACAAGACCATATCATAACAGAGAATTGGAAACGTGACCATGCAGCCTGACCGCAGGACTGAAACTGCCTGATCTCCAGAGAGGGGGCTCCCAGTGAGAGTGACTTGGCCTGCAGAGTGCAAATCACCGGTAGAGACAGTCTGAAGCCAGGAAGATAAGCCTCATCTCACAGGGCAGCCCCAGGGCATCAGCAGCGGCTCCCTGGAGAAAGAATCTGGGGTGCAGAGAAGGATTTTTGAGGCTGCATGTGAGTCTGGCAGGTTCAAGTACCATGAGGTGCTGACACCTCCATGTGCGTGGCAGGTGGGTGTGACACGTGCACCTCGTCTTTGCTATTTGTGGCTACACTTTTAGAAGTGAAAATGGGAAACTGGCGCCAACGGCTGGGCAGTAACACAGTGTTTTCCAGGGACAAACTGAAAGGCAAGTGCTCCTGAGGACGGTGGCTTACTTTTGTTGCCCATATGCCCCCAGCCTGTGATGTAGCAGTACGTATCCGGTTCCAAGAACTGCTCTGTGCCGGGTAAGCAGACCGGCCGCACGTAGATGGTTTCATTGATGTCTTCGCTTAGCTCCACTATGCTGATGTCGTAGTCGACCACAGCTCGACTGTAGCGAGGGTGGAGGATGATGGTCCTCACCAGGCGCGTCTGCATAAACGTCGACGGGTGGTCTAGGTTGTTGATGCCAAAGACCACTTTCCAGACGGCAGCGCTCTCTCTCCTAAAATGATGAATTCAAGAGCTATTGGCTTAAACTTAAATTTACATTTTAAAATGTACATGCAAATTTTTTTAAAAAAATTATTTATTTATTTTGAGAGAGAAAGAGAGAGAGAGAGAGTGAGGAGGGGCAGGGAGAGAAGGAGAAAGATAGAATCCCAAGCAGGCTCCGTGCTGTCAGCACAGAGCCCGACATGGGGCTCGAACTCATGAACCTTGAGATCATGACCTGAGCCGAAACCAAGAGCCGGACGCTTAACGGACTGAGCCACCCAGATACCCCTAAAATGTACATGTGATTTTTCAAAATATTTTGTTTATGTAAATAATGGCTCTTTCCCTGCACCTCTATAATGGCCTGAGTTAATTTGTAAATAGGTATTCTTGTAGAAAGAAAAGCTCGTGTTTCTAGAATGGGGCTATTTTGGAAAGCAAAATTTGTTCGGTTTGGAAGGCAGCCAGGGTGGTTTCTTGCTTCAATGAGTGGGAGAAATAATAAAAAGACATGAAGAAGAAAGAGGAAATTCTGGGGCATGGAGAGTCCTGAAAGGTAAGTGAGTAAAGTGTTTTAAGGTGGGAGTTGACTAGAATAATCCCAGCAAGTGCTCAAAAACAATGCAGTCTTGTGAGCCTGACCACCAGAAGTTATGGTAACCTTTTTAAGCCTTTGGCTTGAAATTTTCAAAAGGTTCTTCCAAAAACTTGCCATTTCTTGGAGGCACTTGCTGCTTCTTGGAGGAATTTCTTAGTCTTGGCTTTTTATTCTCCTCCCTTTTCATCTTTCCGCTTGTCTCCTCTTCTTCTCTGCTCTCACTCAAGTCTATGTCAAAGTGCCCCAGGGCTCTACTGTCAGTCTTCTTATTGCATACTCATCCCCTTGAAGACTTCATCTAGTCCAATGGTTTTAAATGCCACCAAATCCTGGTAACTCCCAAACATGTATCTCTAGCTCTCCCCTCCCCATGAGCTACAAATTTGAATAGAGAATCATCTCAACACATTTGCTTGTATATTCAACAATAGCTAAGATTTTTTAGTGCTTACCACATTTTTGACAGTGTTCTAAGCATTCAGAATGCATTTTATAGGTATTTAGTACTTATAACCATGTGACACAGTTGAAACGTCTTTCTCTTATCTCAACGTCCTCTGCATCAGCAAATCTTCACCATTTCACTTTCAAATATACCCTGAATCTTGATGTTTCTCCCTCTTCCACAATCTATCTTAATGTAACCACTGCCAAGTGCTTGGACCACTGCAATGGCCTCCCAAAAGAAGGCCCTTCTACCCTTGGCCCCCTGAGCTCATTCTCCTCATGGCAGCAGAGTGATCTTTTTAAAAACAACATTAAAGGGGCACCTGGGTGGCTTACTCGGTTAAGTGTCTCACTCTTGATTGGGGTTCTGGTCATGATCTCACAGTTCATGAGTTCAAGCCAGTGCAGGAATCACTTGGGGTTCTCTTTATCTGCTCCTCCCCCGCTCTCTCTCACTCTCTCTCTCTAAAAATAAATAAATAAATATTTTAAAAAATTATATTGAGTCCATCTCATGCTCATAATTCTCCAGGGAAATTGAATCACACTGGAGACATTGTAGACTTCTCCCCATGGCCCCTGAGCTGACTTGCTCCATTCCAACCCCAAGAACTTTCTAGTTTCAGACATGCTGAGGATATCCTCAACTCAGAGGCTCTTCCCTTTCTGTTCTCTCAGCTCCCATATGGTTCCCACCTTAACTCCTCTTCTTTGAGGTCTCAGCTCAAACACCACCTTCTCATAGCTGTCCTCCTTGGCCACCCAGTCTAAGCTCCATTCTGTCTCCATCACTCTCTACTCTTGACCCTGCTTTAATTTTTATCTCATTGGTATCAATGACATCAACACAGCTGTTTGTCTATCCTCTGCCTTGCACCCAGCATAGAAGTTCCATGAGGCCAGGTTGGTCTTATTCAGTGCTGTATTCACAGGCCCCATGAACTAGTATGTAGCAGGTTCTCAACAAGTATTTGCTTAATGGTGGCTCAATGCACATAAACACTAGTAAAAACATTTACTAATGGCCACCTAGGCAAAGTCTATTCTTCGTCAACCCTTCCCCACCCTCTCTACCTTTCCCAGTCCCTCCTCCTCCAGAATAGGCCAGGAGCAGAGGAGTGGAGAGGACCACAGTGCTAGCAGAGCTTTCCTAGTGGACACCCCCTTACATGGTGTTAGCATAAGTGAGCCATGTCAACTGTCCCCACTTGGGAGCTTGCTCAACTAAAGCAGGTTGATTTGACCCACTAGACAGTTGTTTTTCAATCCAGGCTGAACGCTGAATCATGTGGGGAACTCTTAAATACTGATTTTCTGGGCATCACCCCACATCAGTTGAAAGCTTTAGGCTAGGTGGGGCATGGGAATCAATATTTTTTTTTTCTTTTTTTCAAAAAAAATTTTTTTCAACGTTTATTTATTTTTGGGAGAGAGACAGAGCATGAACGGGGGAGGGGCAGAGAGAGAGGGAAACACAGAATCGGAAACAGGCTCCAGGCTCCGGGCCATCAGCCCAGAGCCTGACGCGGGGCTCGAACTCCCGGACCGCGAGATCGTGACCTGGCTGAAGTCGGACGCTTAACCAACTGCGCCACCCAGGCGCCCCAAGGAATCAATATTTTTAAGAGCTCTCAATGGACTCTCTGACAAAAACTCACCCACATTCCTTCTTTCCTTTGCATGCTTTTCTTTACTGTGTTTTCACGCATGGCAAAGATTCAAAGAGTTGGTATTTCAGGAGGGTTAGGAAAGAAGTGGCCAAGGTCAGCATTCAAACTATTTACAGCTTTGCTGGATTCTTGGAGTACACTCTACTAAATGACTCTTCTAAAAAACGTAGTCCATGAGTTCTATCCTTTTACCATTGTAAAGAAAAATAATTTTAGGCTATATGAACAGGAATTGATGTCATTCTTCGAATGCAGATATAGATATAGATATTAGCTATCAACATGTAGATAGGTATAGATATATAGATAGTTATAGACATATAGCACTCCTCCATGCCAAACATGGTGCTAGGGATTACAATAAGCAAGATATGATTCCTCAACAAACTTCAGAATTGAGTGAAGATGAACAATTAAAGAAACAATCATAGTAAAATGTAGGAAGTGATACCTCATGAGCATTTCAAGATGATATTACAGAAGAATTATTTTTCATTAAAGAAGGCTATCACTCAAAGAGTATGTCTTTCTTTCTCTTCCTCCCTCCCTCCCTTCCTTCCTCCTCTCCACCCTCCCTCCTTTCCTCCCTTCCCTCTCCCTCCCTCCTTACCTTCTTTTCTTCTTTCTTTCCTCCCTCCTTTTCTTCTTCCCTCTCTCCTTTCCTTTCCCCCTCTCCCTCCCTTCTTTCCTTCCTTCCTTCCTTCCTTCCTTCCTTCCTTCCTTCCTTCCCTCTCCCCACTTTTCTCTCTCCCTCCTTTCCTTCTTTCTCTTTCTCTCTCCTCCTTCCCCCTCCCCTTCCTTTCCTCCCTTCTGTCCCTCTTTCACTTCCTCCCTTCCTTCCCTCCTTCCCTTGTTCCTTCCATTTTTCCATCCTACAGAAGTAAGTGCATGACCATTTGAGAAATTCAATATTCCTTTGAGATTCTATCATTTAAGGCATCTGAAATCAAGCAACAATTTATTTCAAATTTATGCTTATTTAATAGCTCCTTGCCCTTGATTCAGAGCTACTAAATTTTGTTTATAACAAATACTCATCCATTTGCTTAAATCATAAGCAGTATTTCAAATAATTGAACACTGCAAATTATTTGTAACAAGATGAAGTAGCATCAATTTCAGACTTAATTACTGTATTGTGCTTAATATAATTCTAACAGTGAAAAGTAAAACTGCTAAATTTTATTAACCCGTATCTAGTAGTTTCTTGCTACATAAGTTATGGTCTTTTTGGCATTAACATCCACCAAAAACAAACAGAGTAACACAGGAAATTCACATAATTTTTGTAATCTGTGAGATATTGTTCTTTTTACTTTTTGTTATGAGTGTGATGGAAAAAAATAAAGTCTCTTTTAATGTTTTTTTTTTTCCCAAGGCTGGCAAAAACCAGGAAAACCACAAGCTGTTGTTTGAAATGGACATGTGAAGTGAGGGAATTGTGTATAAATGGTAAATGGGCATATTAAACACATGCTGGAAAGAATGAGTCAGGAATAATAGCAGAGACAACCCCGTGTTGGTGGAAGCAAAAAGAGGAAAGAAAATTTAGAGTTTCATGAATGCCACGGGAGTCTAGTTTCAGTTCAAAATTACCCTGTGGAGAAACACATAAGAACAAGGAGGTTCACTTGGGCGGTTTAGTGAAGCATTTGAATGACAAAAGAAAAAAAGCCAATTATAGAAGCTGAAAATCTTCAGCAAAAGGAGGATTTTTTTCAAACTGAGCTGTCAGACATCAAAGCATCAGTACAGAGAGCTGGTGCATCCTTAAAGAAGTTTCTGCAGAGACCCGTCATGTTCTGGGAGGGATGAAGCAGGCAGAGAGGAAGCCCAGTGAAAATCCACCAAATGAAAATGGCAGATGGGGCACCTGGGTGGCTCAGTTGGTTAAGCTCCAACTCTTGATTTAGGCTCAGGACAGGATCTCAGGGTCTTGAGACCTAGCCCCATGATGAGCCCCACACTGGGCTCTGTGCTGGGCATGGAGCCTGCTTAAGACTCTCTCTCTCTCTCTCTCTCTGTCTCTCTCTCTCTCTCTCTCCCCCCTCTCATTGCCCCTCCCCCAAACCATGCATGTGTGCACTCTCACTTTCTCTTAAAAAAATGGCTGAGGAAGACATTAAGAGACCCCTTTTCTCCTTTCATTCTTGCCCCAGATGTTATTTCCTTGTCTGAAATTCATATTTAAGGTCTAATTTGCTTCATGCCTATATGACTGCTTTAACAATGGATACACTCTACAGAGAACATTGAGATGATATGATTTTCACCTAGAATTCTTCAAACATC